GTCGACGTTTCGAACCTCGATCATTTGGTGCGCGCTGCCGACAACTCAGCAACGAACTGGTATTCCTTCGTCGGCAGCCTCCACTGCGTCCTCGGCAGTGCATATGTCCTGCCAATCCGCCTCCTGGACATCATGCTTGGTCTCCCGGAGGGTGACCTTGGGGACCCGCCGCCTAACCCTGGCGATCCCCCCCCTCTCATTCCCCATCCCGGCGAGGAACCTCTGCCCCCCATGGTACCCGTTGGCACCAGCACTCACGCTGCCACCGCTGAGGTTGAGCAGCTCTTCGTTACTCAGCGTCGTGAGTTTCTCGTGCTCCATACTGATTACCTGATCGCTTTGGAGGAACACGAGCGGTCGGCCACCCTCCGCAACCAGCATGCCGCTACCGCCGCCGCTTATGCCGCTGACTCTGCGCGACTTGCCGAGCGTCGTCGTGCTTGGCTCGAGGCGGACAGACTTGCTACTGGTGCCCTTCTCCTTGCCATCCCGCCTGCGCTCATGCGCAACTTCCAGGCACATCGCATCGGCTCCCGCCAGATCGGGCTCGAGCTTGAGGCCATGTTCGAACGCACCGACTTCGACGCTGTCGGACCGCTCTTCAAGGAATACTTCAGCATCACGATCGAAAATAGTGCTGGCGCCGTTGACTACACCAGCCGTCTCCTGGACCTTGCCTCCCGCCTAGAGGCTCGCCAGACTACTCTCTGTTAGAAATAGACTGCAAATACCACTTTTGTATTTGAACTTTTATATCCTAGTTTAGGTTGTGAATGTTCTATTGGGTTGGGGTGTACTCACAAATCCCAACCTCACCCAATTGTGATCCTCACAATCTCCAATTACCCAATTGGAGATTCCGAAGATCCCAATGGGGATTCCCTCCAATTCCCCCTTCATCCATTCTCTCTCACCTTGCCATGTACTTATAGAGCCTTGGGCTCCTTACCTAATCAATCTTTTCAACTCTATTTCTTACATGGTATCAGAGCGACCTATTCGCACACGCGGATCAAGGTCCTAATCTGAACGTGCCCGCGCTACGCGCACTTCATCGTCGCGACATTCGTTTCGAGTCGTCGGAAGTTCGACGTGCTCCACTCTGCAGTCGCGCCTCTCATCGTCGACCGCCTTCGCGCTCGACCTCGTTGAATTTCTCATCTCTGAAGCTTTCACGCTTTTCGTCGTCGATTTCGTCCTCGGTTCTCCTTGGTTGAATCTCAATTTCGACCATCTCTTAAAACTCGTTCTCGAGTTTCCCCTCAGACCCCGCCAGAATAGGCGAACTCCCCTCGCGAAATCGCCTTCACGAACGTCTCGCGTCAAGCAAGAGCAGGTACACAGGTTGAAGCGGAGCGGAGCTGGTTGCGGAGCTGGTTGCGGAGCTGGTTGCGGAGCTGTGTAGCTGCGGGACAGGGCCTGGGGGTGTGTGGGGGGGTGTGTGGGTCCGGGGTTAGACATAGGCTCAGATTCAGTTTCAAGTCGGCGTTTTAACGAATTTTCGCCAACGCCATTTCCTACTTAGCTGCATTTTGATACAGCCGTCAGAGTGATTTTCAGCAATTCTCGTGGACCAATTTCCAGAAGTGCCACGCTGCACACCGACAATGGCTTACTCAACCACTTCACTCGCCAACCCGATCCCGCTCCTTCGTCTCGAGCCGGACGGTACATGCTCCAACTACAAGGCTTGGCGCTATGGTGTCGACAAGCACCTCCTCAGTCGCGAGGTGAAGGGGCTCGAGCTCACCGACGTCCTTCTCAACATCGGTGACAGCAAAGAGCCTCCTAAACCCGAGAGGTCCGCCGATCCAGCTAATGCCGCCGCCGAAGCAGTTTATGCAGCTGCACTGCTCAAGTACAAGAATTGGGAGAAGGCCGATGGTGCGGTCATTAGTGTCTTCATGGGCACCACTCCTCCCGAACTCGTCGAAACCTACCACAACTACCCGTCTGCCAACGCCATTTGGCTCTACCTCGAAGATCGCTTCCTTGAACAAGACTGCAGTGGAAGTTGCTATACTCATCCCCAGCATGTTCCAAGTGCGGCTCGAGGACTCGCCAGGCATGGCGGACTATGTCACCAAGGTGCAGTCCATTCATGGTGAACTCAAACAGTTGGGGATAGTCTTCCCCGAGCAAGCCCCTGCAGCCGCTCTCCTAGTCGGCCTCACTCCGGCATACGAAGTCACACGCAAGATGCTCTTGGGTCTTGCTCCTGCGGACCTCACATTTGCCAAGGTCTCATCTGCGCTCCTTTCTGCCGAAAAGGACAACAGCGCTCAAGCCAAGGCCAATGCAATCCGCGCTCCCGTGCCTCAAGCCTATGCCACTTCGGTGCCATTCCAGCGCAACCGCTTCCCCCCCTGTCCCTATGTCATCAAGCGCGGCCCTCGTGCTGGCCAGGTATTGGTGCATATTGATTTGCACGTCATCCTGTCGTCTGTTCGCATCATTTCGTTTGCATGTGTTTTGTGTGCTACGTTGTTTGTATGGTTTGTTGGGTTTGCATGTCTTTGCATGTTCATCTTGTGCTTGTGCAGATGTGCTTGGATTGTGCATGACATCGAGCACATTCCAACGAGCCAAGAATTGTTGGAATCGGAGCACATATGAAGAAGTTACGAAGAAATGTTTGATGGATTTGTACAACTCATTGGAAGTCCTTGTCAGCTGCTACACCAAAGTTGGAGAGCCCTATAACGAGGAGGGACCAGCATGTGTGGGACTTTTGTCCCCACCTTGCAGCTGCAGCATTTGGGGTTTGGAGGCCAACCTGGCACATTGTGAATTTTGTCTTGCCAGGCTGGCTGAACCTGAGGATGGGGAGTCAAAACTTTGACTCTTGTCATGTTCTTGACCATGGGCCTCCAGGGTCCTTCCCTTTCATCCTTCCCTTCATACCCCACCTTCCAATTGTGCTTCAATGCCTTTTCTATCATCCCTCTGATCTTGTAAGCTTCAATTATAGTGACTCTGAGGACTGTCAACTTCTCCTAGGGCAGATTACCCCCCAGTGCGCCAAACGCCATAGCTCACTCGTTAAGCTACGGAATCGAGTGATTCAACTTTCAGTTGAAAGCTGACGCTGCCAGCTACAACATATCCGATTTTCAGATCGTTTCACCGATTGGAGTTTTTGATATAGCTATTCGAAGGTCGCGAGTTTTCTGGGCGTCATAACGAAGTGCTGCAGAAATTTCCAAGGAGCCATTGAATCATCTGCTTATAGCCTTCTCTCACAAACAAGTGGTATCAGAGCCTATTATCACGCATTTGGGACCTAAAATACGATGGGAGATAAAGAGGACTCTGGTGGAGGTGATACTTCAGTCCAAGGAGGCAGCTCAATCCAAGATTCTGGCATTGCAGCGCAAAGGGGAGCGCGTACAAGCCAGGGGTCACTGCTTAAGGAGGTGCTGAAGAACTTCACCATTGAGAAGTTCTCTGGAGATGGCTATGATGATTGGGCATGGAAGATGCAGCTCTACTTTCGACAAATTGGCCTCTTGAAGCTCATGATTGGAACGGAGCCAAGGCCACAGGAAATGGCAGAGCAAGCGGACTGGGATGAACGTTCATCTGCTGGATATTATCTACTGTCACAAAGCTTGGAGCTGAACCAGAGGCATCACATCATGCATCTGCTACCGGAAATTGATTGTGGGCCCAAGGCATGGGCAGTGCTCAAGGACCTGCACGCTCCGACATCGGTTGCCGCTTCTCTCATGCTGGATCGGGAGCTGTCCATGCTGCGGTTGAGCGAGAATGAACCTGTGCAGCCCGTACTGGACAAGATGAGGGAACTCTACGCGAAATTGGCGATTGCTGGCATCACGTACCCAGAGCAGACAAAGTGTCTCAAGATGCTCAGCCTGCTGCCGGAGTCTTGGCTGCAATTTATAAGCGGACTCAGCTTGCCACAAAACCAAAGTCAATGGACATTGGAGTGGATTCGCACCAAGATTCTGGAAGAAGATTTTCGTCGCTATACACTGCGCGGAGGTGATGACAGCACCAGCGGCTATGCCATGCAAGGACATGGAGGGATCGAGGGCGTGGCAATCGCGGTCGCTCTTACCACAGCCAAGGTGGTCGCGGGACTTGGAACCAGCGGGGGCGTGGTGGCGCTGGTGCAAGAGGAAGAGGTGGTCACTCCAACAATGACAACAGTGAACCACGCTTGAGGGGAGAGTGCTGGTATTGCAAGGAAGAAGGGCATCCATGGTTTCGCTGCCCTACCAAGCCCGACTGGTGGACCCCTTGGAACCAATCGCAGAAGGGGAATGGAGGAAAGCAACCACATGGAGGTGCCAACATGGTAGCTGATCCTGCTGAAGAAACCTCCAAGGATGACAGAGGAATGGGAAATGAGGAGAGGAATGCTGGACAGTTCTACCATGTGTGTGACAAAGATGACAGTGGCACAGCTGTTGCAAGGGCTGGAGAGGAATTGCACCCGCTTGACATGTGGGTCATGGACTCTGGTGCTGCATGGACAATGACACCACGCAAGGACTTGCTGGATGCTGTGCGAGCGCCTCCTATCTCTGAAGTGCGCTCAGCATCCGGACATGCAGTGAAGGTCGCTGGAGTTGGTCGAGCTGCATTCAGAGCACCTGATGGTGGACTGGTTGTGCTGAAGGACGTGTTACTCGTACCGGGGCTGAAGGCCAATCTGATATCGCTGCGCAAGCTAGGCCAGGCCGGAGTCAGCACCACCACCAATGGATCCAAAACATTCAAGGGGCTGCGAGGAGATCGTGTGTTATGGGATTTACACGAAAGCAGAGATGTCTTCAGATCCATGTGGCAGATCCCTGCACTGATATGGGAATCAACAAAGAAGGAGTTGGGAGAAGTAAAGGCGGGATCTGGAGTCCAGGGGGAGTGTAATGCAGTTAGTGCTGCAGGAGTGACGGTTTCTGCAAGGTCGGGGGAGACTGATTGGGAAACCGCACACAGGCGTCTAGGGCATGTGGCTATGCCATTGCTGCAGCAACTGCATAAGGAAGAAGCAGTAAAGGGGCTCAAGCTTTCTGGGCAACCAAATGATACCAAGTGCGAGACGTGTCTGCTGAGCAAGTTCACACGGTTCCCCTTTCACGACGTAGCTGGGAAAAGCAAGGCAGCACTGGAACTGGTGCACATGGACCTGGTAGGACCTTTTCCAGTCCGAGGAAGTAAGGGGGAAAGGTACTTCCTGACAATAGTTGATGACTGGAGTCGGCTGATGTGGGCATACCCGTTGAAGCAGAAGGATCATGCTGCCTCAACAATACGAGATGATTGGCTGCCGTTCGTCGAGCGACAATCTGGGCACTCATGCAAAAGCATCAGAACCGACCGAGGTGGAGAGTTTCTAGGAGGAGATCTGACTGCATGGCTCAAGAAACAAGGCATTGAGCATCAACTAACGACGTCCTATACCCCTCAGTCAAATGGCGTTGCTGAGAGGGCTAATAGGACCATCCTGGAAACTGCGCGAGCGCTGCTGATCGAATCAGGGCTGGGGAACTCCATGTGGCCTCATGCGGTGAGCATGCTACAGTGGCAAGGAACCGCGTACTCACAAAGGTGGCTGATGATATGTGGGTGCCGCTGGAGAGGTGGCTTGGAAAGAAGCCTCCAGTGGACATGCTTCGAGTGTTCGGATGCATGGCAGTGGCGCATGTCCCTAAACCGTACAGGACAAAGCTTGGAGCATCTGCACTTTGGTGTGTGCACCTTGGGCTTGCGGCAGAGAGCAAGGGGTGGCTACTCTGGGAGCCCTCAAAGAATGTGCTGTTTGACAGTCGGGATGTCAAATTTGTGGAGAACATCATGTATGGCAAGTGGGAGAAGCAGCCGGAGGCAAGGGTCACCCAGCAGCTGGAAGAGATCACTATGCACTTCGATCTGTCCGAACCTGAGGACAGCGAAGTCACTGCGCCAACGGCAAGCGGTACTGATGAAGGAAGCAATGAGGATATTGCAACTGATGCTGAAGTCAAGGATCCGGAGCAGCAGCAGCAAGAGGCTTCCAAAACACGAAGTCTGCCAAAGCGAAGGAAACAGATTGGTGGGGGGACAAAGGATTGGGTGAAGGTGAAAGAATGGGTAAGTCCAACCATCTACCCTGCACGTACCAGAATGGCAACGAGAAAGCTGCTGAGCTCCACAAGTGGAGGAGCCACAACTGAGCAGCAGGAACAGGCTCAAGGCGAAGATGCGGTGCTGTTATTGGGTGATGACCAAGAGTCAGATGACGAGGAGCCTGCATACTGCTTTTACGCACCAATACAACCTCCGAGCATGGATCATGCGCTAGCCGGGCCTCAACGGGGGAAGTGGCTCGTTTCAAGAGATGCAGAGTACAACAGCCAGATGGAGAATCACACATGGGACCTGGTGTACTTGCCAAATGGGAAGAAGGCAATACAGTGCAAGTGGCTGGCAAAAATCAAGACGGATGAGAAAGGAGAGCCATCAGTTTACAAGAGCAGGCTGGTGGCAAAGGGGTTTCAGCAGAAAGAGAAGGAAGATTACAAAGAAGTGTTTGCCCCAACTGCTAAGTCTCCAACGCTACGTGTGCTGCTGGCGGTAGCTGCTGTGCGCAAATGGAAGGTGAAGCAGATGGACATCGTAACCGCTTTTCTGTACGGCATTGTGGAAGAGGAGGTGTACATGGTTCAACCACCTGGCTATGAGGATGGAACCGGTCGTGTCTGCAAACTTAACAAGGCCATCTATGGCTTGAAGCAGGCCCCGAGATGCTGGTACAACAGGCTGGCCAGTGCACTGGAAGGGATTGGATTCCGTGCGAGTGCATGCGACGAGAGCCTATTCCTGATGGGAGAGGGGGAGTCACTTGTGCTTCTGCTGGTGTACGTGGATGACATCCTGCTCTTCAGCAGCAGTGACAAGGAGATCGATGGGGTGCAGCGGAAGCTCACAGAGCAGTTCAAGTGCAAGTCACTTGGAGAGGCAAGGTACTACCTGGGAATGCACATTGAGCGGGATGCTGAACGTGGCTGGCTCAAACTGCATCAGGGACAGTACATCAACACCTTGGCTGAGAAGTACTCTCTGCAGGAAGAACGGGAAGTGGTCACACCTTTGCCTTCCGAGTTCAAACTCATAAAGGCAGCTGAAGGAGAAGGAGTTGAGAGTGAAGACCAGAGGCAATTCCAATCCATGGTCGGGAGCCTACTCTACGCTGCTGTGCATACTCGGCCTGACATCAGCTTTGCTGTGGGACAGCTGGCTCGAGTAGTGCAAAATCCAACAGAAGAGCAGTGTGGTGCAGCGGAGAGAGTGGTGCGCTACCTCAAGTCATACCCTACAGTGGGAGTACAGTATTCAGCCTCTGCTCAACGCAGTCAAAAAGGAGTTGAAGTCCTCAAAGAGAAGGGGGAGCAGCTCGGAGAAGGAAAGGTGTTCCTTTCCTGTTTTGCTGATGCCACGTGGGCTTCTGAGCATGAGGATTCATCATCAGTTGGTGGATACATCTGCATGGTGGGAGGTGGGCCTGTAAGTTGGAGGTCCAAGAAGCAGTCTAAGACGGCACTATCTTCAGTGGAATCTGAGTACATGGCGATGTTTCATGCGGCAAAAGAAATCATCTGGCTAAGGAGGCTCTTGAAGGAGATCGGCCATGAACAGACTGTTAGAAACAGAAAGGTTCAGTTTATTGATGAAGCAAAGGCATTACATAGGAAGAGAGAGATGAGCTAGGAAGGGAAGGTTGGAAGGGAAGGGGGGGTTAGGACCAATCACAAGGGAGGGAGGATCCTTCCAAATGTGGTTGACCACCAGTTGGAGGTGGTCCAAGTGTGGTGTACCACCAGTGGTTTAGCCAACCCACTTGTGGTGCCCCCACAATTGTGGTCCTTGTGTTTGGGGGCTCCAACCACAATTGGGTTGGATTGACACCCCAACACAGGTGTACACCCAACTAGGGATGTAAACACAATATACACAACTAGCATAGCATGGTATATTCTAACACAACCCCAGAGCATGCAAAGCTAGTGTATATGTAGGGTACAACCCCAGAATCAGGAAGGGGGGCAGGGCCCAAGGCCGAGAAGGCGGAGGAGGGCAGAGTGCGCGGTCTTCGGGAGGGCCTTGGTGAAGATGTCGGCCAAGTTGGCCTCTGCAGCGATCTTGCGGACCACCAAGTGACCTTGCTGGACCAACTCTCCAACGAAGAAGTAGCGGAGTTCAATGTGCTTGGAGCGGCCATGGAAGACAGGGTCCTTTGTGAGATGGATGGTGCTGGCATTGTCGCACCAGAGGGTGGGACAGCGCTGAGGAGCACCGATCTCAGCAAGGAGGAAGGTGAGCCAGCGATTCTTCTGAGCGGCCATGGTGCAAGCATAGAGCTCAGCCTCGCAGGATGAGAGGGCGATGGAGGAGGAGCGAGTGGAGCGCCAGCTGATGAGGCCGCTGCCAAGGGTGAAGCCGTAGCCTTGAGAGGAACGGCGATCCGGCTGGGAGTCAGCCCAGGAGGAGTCACTGAAGCCAGAGAGGAGGGGAGGAGAAGAGCCTCCGAGGGTGAGGACATAGTCCTTGGTACCACGGAGGTAGCGGAGGACCCGCTTCGCTGCAGCCCAGTGCTCATCAGTGTGGCGACCGGTACCGACGAATCGAGCAAGAACACTGATGGGGTAGGCAAGGTCGGGGCGGGTGCACATCATAGCGTACATCAGCGAGCCGACGAGCTCAGCGTAAGGATGGTCAGAGGAGGAGGGAGCAGGAGGAGGGGCAAGCTGGTGGTCGGTCTGCAGGGGAGTGGTAACCGGCTTGGCCTGCGCCATGTCGAACCGCTGCAAGACTTGGTCGATGTAGAAGGACTGAGAGAGGGTAATGGTGCGCGATGTGCGGTCCCGGGTGATGGTCATGCCCAGATAGTGCTTGAGCTCACCCAGGTCCTTGCACTTGAGGCGCGCATGCAGGGCGTCCTTCACTTGCTGCATGGCGGCAGCATCGTCAGCGAACAGGATCATGTCGTCGACATACACCAGGATGAAGAAGCGGGTGGGAGAGGAGCGAAGGAAAAGGCTGGCATCAGACTGAGAGGCATGGAACCCCAAGGACTGCAGAGTGGCGGCCAGCTTGTTGTGCCACTCGCGAGGAGCCTGCTTGAGGCCATAAACCGGGCGGCGCAGCTCCCAGACTGTGTTGGCAGGGAAGGCTGCATGAAAGCCTGGAGGCCGCCGCAAGAGGACCCGCTCCTGAAGCTCGCCTTGCAGGAAGGCGTTGGAGACATCCATGGAGGCAATCTCCATGCCAACGCGAACAGCATAGTCGAGGATGGCACGGAGAGTTGGGAGCTTGGCAGTGGGAGAGAATGTCTCCCAGTAGTCGATGCCATGGGTTTGGGTGAAGCTCTTGGCACAATACCGGGCCTTGTAGACCGGCTCCTCACCCGGCAGCTGCTTCACTCGGAACACCCAGAGGCCTTCAACAATGACGTCGTCAGGAGAGGGGACAATGTTAACGAATGAGGCATTGCGGATGAAGGCCTCGCATTCAGCAAAGATAGCCTGGATCCACTTGGCAGCATCGGGGCAGGTGATGGCCTCAAGGAAGTTGGACGGAGTGAATCTGGTGGGAGCGGTAGCGATGCCAAGGATAAGGAGGCCAAGGAAGCCCGGGTAGAGAGGCGTGAGGGAAGGTGTTTGTTGCTGAACGCCAATGAGCTCCTCATGGGAGTCCTCAATGAAGGGAAGGGAGGGTGGGGGTGGTGTTGGCCAACCCCCATGGATGGCCTATGAGTGGGCCGTGAGAGCGAGTGTGGATGCGTGGGAGGATGAACGGAGAGGTGGTGCGGCGATGCCGATGAGGTTGCTGCAGTGGCTGCTGCTGCTGCTGCTGTGGCTGCTGCTGGTGCTGCTCCTGCACCTCCTGCTGCGGCTGCTGTTGCTGCACTGCCTGCGGTTGCTGGCTGGCTGCTGCTCCATCCACTGCTGGCACCTCCTGCTGCTGCTGGCTGCTGCTGCTGCTGCTGCTGCTGCTGCTGCTGCTGCTGCTGCTGCTGCTGCTGCTGCTGCTGCTGCTGCTGGCATCCGCTGCTGCTGCTGCACCTGCTGCTGCTGCTGTTGCTGCTGCTGCTGCTGCTCCTTCTGCTGCTGCTGCTGCTGCTGCTGGCTGCTGCTGCTGCTGCTGCTGCTGCTGCTGCTGCTGCTGCTGCTGCTGCTGCTGCTGCTGCTGCCTGGTGCTGGTGCGATGAGGCAGAGTGAGCAGGGGAGTCAGGGACAGCTGGGTCGTAAATGTCACCTGAGGAAGGAGGAGGGGGAGGAGCAGGATTTGGAGGAAGGAGGGGAGCCTGGGGAAGGAGTGGGGGAATGACAGCATCAGCCCAGGTGAGGGGGCGGGAGAGAGGAGGAAGGGGGTCGGAAGGCGGAACAGAATGATAGAACGGGATGCTCTCATCGAACACCACGTCACGGCTCTGTAGGAGGGCGGCCTGAGGAACGGGTGAAGGAAGAGGTAACCAGGGGCAGAGCGAGCCGTGGCCAAGGTAGACCACACTCAATGGCCTTGGAGGCGAGCTTTCCTGCCTGCCGAGAGCGGTCAGGTGGGGGGATGAGGACATATGCCTTGCAACCCCAGATACGGAGAATGGCAGCATCTGGCTTGGTGCTAGCCCAGAGCTCAGTGGGAGTGACAGACTGGCGTTGAAGGTGTGGGTAAAGATTAGTAAGGAGAGCAGCATGGACAAGGGCATAGCCCCAAAGAGAAGGGGGCGTGGAGGCATGAATGAGGAGGCAGCGGGCCGTCTTGGTGATCTCACGAATGCGACTCTCAGCAACACCGTTCTGCTGAGGGGAGTGGGGAAGGGTATGAGTCTGCTGGATGCCATGGGTTGAGCAGTAGGAGGAGAGGGTGCGGTTGAGAAACTCACCACCGCCGTCGGAATGGAGGCGGCGGATGGGGCGACCAAAGTGGACACGGCACTGCTCGGCCCAGGTAACGATGACAGCAGGGGCCTCGGCCTTCGTGTGGAGGAGGAACACCGAGGAGTACCTGCTGTGGTCGTCGACTAGGACAAGCAGGTACCGGTGCCCTTGGCGGGAAGGGGAAGGGTTAGGGCCCCAGAGGTCCATGTGGACGAGGTCAAGGGGGGCAGCAGCAAAGGAAGGATGACTGAGGTGAGGCTGTTGTTTGAGCTTTCCATGAATGCATGTGGCGCATGGGGGAGCGGAAGAGGACGGGAGGGGAGGAAGAGTGGGGGAAGACCGTCAAGCAAGCGGGAGGAGACGGCTTTACGAAGTGTGGGAAAGTTCATATGACCAAGGCGGTGGTGGATGAGAACAGCGGGTGGGACAGTGCGCGACAAGAGCATGGGGAGGAGGTGGAGTTGGAGGAAGGTGGCTCTAGAGGGAGGGGAGGGGGGAGAGTGGAGGTGCCTGCACGAGTGGTCACGTGGCATGAGGAGGGGCGCGGTGTGCGGAGGATGTACTGACGAGAGCGAGGGC